TACACAGAACATGAAGGCCAACGAGCTGTTATATTACTGGAACTGGAAACTCCCTTTCCAAGAAGTATACCCAACTCCGAAAAGAGCAAAATAAAATCTTGCCGTATCTGATCAAACTTAGATACAGCTTCAGACTTATATGTTATTTAGGTTCTTACTGGAAACAGCTGAGAAAGTTCTCGATAACTACATCAGACTTATGTTCTGGGAAAGACGCCACTTCATTCTCGGCAACATGCATACAGAGCGGGCAGATCAACAACAACCGCGTTATTTAAGCTTTCCGACAGCATTCAGAAGACACTACAAAATTAAGAAGTATCCATCTGTGCTTTCTTAGACATAGAGAGGGCATTGGGTAACACCTCTTATGAGTCAATCAAGAATGCACTCGTCAAAAAAGGAGTGGACAAAACCATATCCACCTGGATGTACGAAATTCTAGCCACCAGAATTGCAGAAATGACGTCGCTGATCAAACCATTCAAGTCTAATTATTAGAGAATGTCCACAGGAACGGGAACACTCATCTTTGATGTGGAGTTCGAGGTTAATGATCTCTTGAGTATACTGATCGATCAGGGCTTCACCTGATGTCCAAAGCAGGTGAAGCTCTGATCGCGAAAAAAATTCGCCTCAAGGAGAGTAAACTCAAGTGGAAACAGTAATTAAAATTTCTGGGAACTCCCTAGATTGTAAACCTCTCCTTTAAAGACTCCGGCACTAGAGGTCATCCTAGACCTCACACTACTCCACCTAATAGGATGATACATGATGAAGAATTTGGGACGCCGCACAGTGTAACGAAATCGAAAAAAATGGGACCTTGAGTCTTTTTTTCTAAATATCACTACCTATGATGATTTTCTTTAACAAAAAATGAATAATACGACAAAACTTCTCTTCTGGAAAGAGAAAGGGAAATTCCTACGTTGTGATAATATGGAAGAATTCGCACTGATGCAAAAGAAAAAAGTAAGCCTTATCAATAAATAAAATACCAAGTCATATTAATACTTATTAATACTAATTAATACCAGAATTTATTAGGTGACCGTTAAGTTCACAGACTTAAAATTTAAAATAAACAAAATATTATTGATAGGAAAATACTATGCCAATTCATAGACACCAATTCATATGAAGTTTACCAGCTAAAACACCTTTTTAAAGATGAGATTTAAAAAATTTCCTAAAACGCGACATTTTTTACGGTTTTGTTAAGATCGCATACTATGGTCTGAAATCACATGTAGGGGAGAGGGCCATAAGATGACGAAGTCACTAAGATGACGAATTGCACATCCCTACTAAACTTTAACCGTTTTAATATCGAAAACTACTACACTACATCCCTATTGACTCGCGCAGTCTGGTAGCGTCGGTATTTTTCCGGCAAAGCGAGTTAGTTCACGGCTAGACACGGAAAACTTATAATAGTTCTTTGTGATATAATTTTTGAGGTTACCGAAATAGTGAATAGAATTTGACTGGTGAGTACTAGACAATTGCTCGAGGGTCTTAGGCGATTGGAAAAGCATCTTCTAGAGATGTTGTTGATCAACATTACTCATGTGCATGCCCTTAAAAGAATACTTTTCATAAAATGTACGAATGTGGTTTGTAGGTAAGTTGACGAAGAGAAAAGTAGCTAAGTTGACGAAGTTCGTCATCTTACCCCCAATATCTGAAAGTCAAATTTTAATTTATAAAATATTGTTTGGTGGTCTAGATTGTAAGATGGGCAGAGTTTATGTTCGGAAAACAGCAAGGCAAACATGGAGCAAAGAAAATATGAAAAACGCTATAAACGAAGTCCAAAACAATAATGTTTCCGTTAATGCGACTGCAAAGAAATATAAGCTTCCAGAGCCAACGCTTCGCAGATATTTAAGAAAATATCCTGATAAGGTAAATTCGTTTGACTGTTGGTTATAAGTATTTTAACAAAATTTATATGTTTCTTAGGTTTTTCCATCGAATGCCGGAAGATATAAGCATACTTTTTCTGCTGAGCAGTTGCAAGACTTGTATCACTACATAACAGAGATCGATAAGCGGGCTTTTGGTATTATAATTATAATTTATGATTTTGCTGAAAAATGTAGAATAAATCATAGATTTAATAAAGAAAAGAAAAAAGCTGGACGACATTTTGTCGAATGGTTTATGAAGGAATTTAAATTGGCCCTTAGGACTCCCGAATCGACGTCGATTGCCAGACTCATGGCTTTCAATAAAGAAAGCGTCTCTCAGTTTTTTAATGTGCTTCGTGAAACAAGAGAAAAATATTCGTTTCAGCCTAACCAAATTTATAATGTTGACGAAACAGGTGTCTCGACTGTAGCAACCAAAAACCCCAAGATCCTAACCCCCATAGGAAAGCGTAGGGTCATTAAAATCTCATCCGCTGAGCGAGGGACAAACGTTACAGCTGTCTGCAGTATGAACGCAAGCGGAAACTTTGTGCCTCCTTTCTTAATTTTTCCAAGGGTCAGGATGCAGCCAGCTTACATGAACAACGCTCCTAGTGATTTTGTCGGCGTGGCCCATGAATCAGGCTGGATGACATCTGATAATTTTATTAAATATTTAGAGCACTTTATTCGCTATACAAGGCCTAGTGAGGAAAATAGAATTCTACTACTAATGGACAATCATGCTAGCCATCTTACCTTGGAAGCAGTGAATTTATGTAGAAGCAATTTTGTTACGTTAGTTGGATTTCCACCACACACTAGCCACCGTCTGCAGCTCCTAGACGTGTCGCTATACGGTCCGCTGAAGACTGCTTATAGTAGAGCATGCGAAAATTTCCTTATTAGTAACCCTGGGAAAGCAATTACCCTATACGACATTGCTTCTATTTTTAGTAAAGCCTATTTAAAGGTTGCCTCGGTGGTAAATGCAAAGAGCGGATTTCGAGCAACTGGTATAGAGCCATTCGACCCCGATATATTTACAGACTTAGATTTTGAGGCAGAGAAAACAACTGATATAGAACTACAAACAACGAAACAAAATTTAAAAGAATCTTCAAACTTGGAAACTGAAACTCAAAAAAAACGTCGAGAGAAAAATGAATCCACGCCTCCGAAAACAGAGCCCATTGCCTCTACTTCAAAATCATTAGGTGAAGAACAAATTAAAACATCAAACGAAAAAAATTTAAAAAATAGAATGTTTGGTCTTCCATCCTTACCTCAGGGGAGTCAAAAAAGCAGACGTCCACGAAAAAAGTTACCTTCGCTTGTAATTTCAAGCACGCCAGTGAAAGATGCCTTACAAGCAAAAAACGATGAGAAAATTGAAAAAGAAAGGAAGAAGAAACTTCGAGAAGAGGCTAAAATAAAGAAAAGGATAATTGAAAAGATTCGTAATGTCAAACGCAAAGTATTAAGCGATTCAACTGATTCGGAATCCTCAGCATCTGTATCCTATGCTGATACTGATGATGATGATACGAATTTGGAATTTGAAGAGGATGATAAATTGTGCATAATCTGCAGTGACGTGGGTAAAGATAAGGAGCTTTGGTTCCGATGCTCAAAATGTCGAGGCTGGGCGCATTCCGAATGTACCAGTTTGGATCGCAAAGAAGCTAAAGCTAAAGTTTGTATTTGTGATTTTTGTGCCTAATTGTTGAATTATCTAGAATTCCATCTTTTGTTTTGTTTATTATTATTTTTTTTTAAGTTTAGCGTGTTTTTTGGTTGTATTTCCTTTCTTTGTATACATTGGGTATTTACTCTCAATAAATATATTTTCAACATTTGGTTTTCATAATTTAAAATATTAGTCAACTTACCCACAGTAATTCGTCAACTTATCAGCAATGGGTGGTAAGATGACGAATTGGTTGTTTTTTTAAATTTATTTTATTTTTGTGACAAAATATTTTTTTTATTAAAAATTTCCTGATCAGTTATTTCAAATATGTTATGGCTCTATGCTCAAATAAATGCATGTCTTATTTTTGATAAATAACAATTTTATGGTCCAAAAATGCATAGCTTCGTCAACTTACCTCCCTTTCCCCTACTATGGTCACACATACTATATATGGTCTGGACTGAAAAAAAAATAATATAATTATCAAACGTCCTCACAAGATGTATTTCTTTCCCATTAAAACAACTTTTAATTATTATTTTTATACCAGCAGGAATCAGTAAAAAAACATAATTGCTAAAAAAAAAATTCCAAAATCGGATCCAGGTGGAAGCAAATTATATATGACAGAATACTAGAAGGTTCAATCTATAATACGTTATGTATAAAATATTATCCAAAGTTATCCATTTTTTTATAAGTCAACTAAAAATTTTTTTTTAAAAAATTGCTACCACTCATTCAAAAATTAAGGTAATTATCCCTAGGGATACTGAGGAAATATCTTAATGGGATTATGGCGGCAAAAGGTCACCCTCCAAAATAAAATTATCGAAATTCAAAAATATTGCGAGACCACTAAATTATGTATTTTTTAATATGGGTGTTATTTTTCAAAGGATTTGGTAAATTAAAAAACCACAAATTTAAACTGCCATATCTCCTTGACCAGAAGGGTAAAGTGAAAGATATCTCACATAGTGAAGCTCTGGGGTATCCTCTAATTATCCGTGTAAAAAATTATATATAAATCCAGATTTTGATATATAGGCTAATGTCCCGCTTTTTCCAATTTCATCACAGTGTGCGCCGCCTTATACAATTAGACGACTGAAACCCCTGGATATGCTGAGATTCCTAAAGTACTAAAAAGGCTGCTTTGAGCAGGAAACCTGAGCCTAGCAGTAGAAGGAGGTATAAAATAGATCAACCTAGGTCGTAGTGCAGCTGACACCTACAACACACATATTAGACATTATGCAAGACAAAAGCATTTTTTTTTTCCAAACACCCATACATACGTTGTTTATCTTTATATTTGCGTAAAGCTCAAATTATTCTTTATATCAGGTTTTTGGGTCAATACAAAGTATTATTTATTTTATTTTATTTATTTATTTCAACGGATATACCATTTACATTTGAACAATAAATGTTTTTACAATAATTTCATAAAAATCTATTTCATAGGTATAAACTTAACAAAAACTATTTTAATTTTATTTTAACAACAAACTTAAATTCTATTTTTTAGGAACTCATTTACTGTTCTATTGAACTGTCTAAGAGATACATTAAATATATCAATATCTAATTGGTTTATTAAACTAGCCATTCTGTTCAAAGGCGAGTTCATTCCATAATTAGTTCTATGAAAATCAATATGGAACAATGAAAAATTTCTTGTTGTCCTTTGAGGAACTTCTAGAGAAACCAATTCTAGTAATCTTGGACTATCCACATTGTTATTCATCAGTTTGAACAGAAATCTAACGTCTAACATAAATCTTCTATTCTCTAAGGAGTCCAAATTTAATAAACTGTGCAGGGAGACATAATTAATATCTTGTTTCGGTATTTTAAGTTTGTAATTAATAATTCGTAAAAATCTTCTCTGTATTTTTTCTAGAATTTCCCTGTATTTAAGATAATGCGGATTCCAGACAGGACTGGCATATTCAACAATAGAACGAATTAAGGAACAGTACAATAACTTGAAACAATAAATGTTATTTACCTCCTCCAAAGTGTGAGACATAAACCCTAATAATCTTAAACATTTATTGTAGCTGTTTCCAATATGAATACTAAAGTCCATTTTATGGTCAAAAAATACACCAAGATCCTTGATTCTGTCAACACTATTAATTATTACATTGTTGACAGAGTAATCAAATATTATTGGATTCTGCACCCTAAAAAATCTCATAACATTACACTTGTCTGTGTTCAAGGATAAACAATTATTTGAGCACCACAAACTAAAACGCTCAAGATCTTGTTGAACTCCATGACAGTCTGTTATCTCATTAACCATTGAAAACAATTTGAAATCATCAGCAAAAAGTAAAAAAGTGGTATTTTGTATGCATTGACACAAATCATTGATGAATAGATTGAATAACAATGGTGATAGATGTCCACCCTGAGGCACCCCTGAACAAGCCTTTATGGAAAAGGACAGACAATTATTAATAGATACAATTTGAAATCTTTCCGATACATAACTTTCTAACCATTTAAGAAAAGATCCAAATAGTCCATACAGTGACAACTTGTGTAAATGAATTTTATGATCAACCTTGTCAAAGGCCTTGGAGAAATCCGTGTAGATTGCATCAACCTGACTGAGAGCCTCCAAGGCCCTAGACAAGTATTCAGTATACTCCAGCAAGTTACTTACAGTGGATCTTCCACTAAAAAAACCATGCTGACTTTGATTAATGTGTGGTTCTAGCAGAGGAGTAATTTTAGCAGTTACAATCTGCTCAACTATCTTACTGAACAAACATACTTTTGAAATTGCACGATAGTTTTTAACTTCACTTCTTGCCCCACTCTTAAAAAATTAAAAGTTAAAAAGTCTAGACATAGCGACATAAGATACTTCACCAGTACATACAGGTATACCTAATTAAAATTAAAAATTGTGCACTATTTCGAAACAGGATCGTTTGAAAATGAAATATTGTATTTCATTCGGAGTATATTCTTCATAGATTTGATTCTTCATTTCCATACGCGGCGTCACACATAAGTGACACTTATAATCCTAATAAAATAAATATCTATTAGTAGGTATTTGATTGACGACACTTGAAAGTGTTATTATTATATTGGAAAATCTTACAAACATTTATTCAACGTTGCCCATTCACTTAAAAGATAAAACAAAAATAAAAATATTTTTATTGAAATAATATGTGAATAGTTTAAAAATTGTTAAAAAACTATTAGAATGTTATAAATGGTTTCTTCGCCCAATTTTCATAAAACTCCACCCATGTTTTATAATATGGGCTTTTAGGATTCTTATTCACTTCCAAATTTCTTCCTATATCCACATATTTATGATCGTGTAACTTAAATTTGGGCCAAGTAATATTTTGTAGCAACGCAGAAATTTCTGGTGTTGGATGCCTACGAAAAATAATATACAAAAAAGCATTCTAATAGTATAATATTAGGCTACTCACAAATACTTAACAAAATTGCTCCATAGGCTTATCAGCCTTTTATGTGTTATTATATCACTTTCAGGAAATTTGGATAAATCCGTGTTTGAGTAGCTCTTATCAAATTTCAAAAATAAATATTTTGGATCTTCTGCATGATCGATTTTATCAGCACCTAAAAGAAAACAAATATGTTGCTTTGCAACTCTACATGTTGCCTAATAACAAGAGTTACATCAAACAAATGACATAAACAGACGTATGAAGCATTATGTGTTATTTTTCAAATAAAATTACCTTTTATCGTTACATTCACATTTCCCATCGGGCCATCATAAGAAAACACATAGAAAAATACATCGATGTAATTTGAAACCAAATCGGCATGTTTTATAACTGCGGTGGTAAACTGGAAATGACTTAGGTACTAAAAGAAACCATCAGTTTAACTACCTCTCTGGTTGAAGAATATGATGTGTACAAATGTTTGCAAATATTATGGATAGCATTTTCCTTTTTACTTACTTTGACAATATGGCCCATCTTTGAGTCTTCAGGTACATCTTGCAAATATAAATTTCTAATAGCTTTCCCAACTTCACTTCTATTCACTCCATCTTTTACGACAAAATCACTTGGAATAAACTTTTCAGGGTTGCTTTCGAATTGATCCAATTCCTTCTTCAAATTAATTAAATCTGATCGCATAAAATAAATAAAGTATTTAAAGACCAACAAAAAGAAATAAATAAATAATTTACCTTTAGCTTTATGAATCTCCTCTTCCGAATTAGTACCGATCAAAATAGGTACCTGAATAAAATCACCAGTTTTTAGCAATTGATACTGGCTTTCGGTTAAGAATGCATTATCATGTATGGGTTCAATAACAGGCAATGGCCTCTAGAATTAAAATAAACAAGTTTTTATTAATTAATAATATTTATCTTCGAGAACCGTCTGAGGATTTGCTATTACCAGATGAATTCTGTCATGTTTCTAATTGAAATAATGTGTTTATCGTTTGTTTCAACTAGACAATCGCCGGTACTGATTAGCATAAATATACGTAAATAAATATGCATCAATGAATATTTTTATTATAAATAATAAATAGGTGAAATATCACACCGTCTCCTCTCTAATTAGGTTACATAATAATTGTGATGTATTTTTAAATAATATCAAAAATATTATTATAAATACAAAAGATCACGTGATCCTCTATTGCACTTTGGTCCATTTTCAATAATAAGAAGGGAAGAGCATGGTCATAGGTCATGAAGCACTTGGTTGAAGTAGGAAAGAAGACATTTGAAGAAATAACTCTTACTGGAGAACTTCATCTCGACAATGCAACATCTTCAAATCGGATTTACTTGATTATTTGTTAGGGTGGAAACATGGGCTTTACAGTTTGGCGTTGGTGATTCTTTCAGAAAAATGATTGTTGTAATAAGGGAATAGTATTGAATAAGTACAATGATCATTCTTGCCTAGTTTGAGATTGTATACAGGCAATAAATTCAAGGGGAATCGAAAGTTGGACAATCAGACAAATATTCCTCATAGTACAGAGATGTGATTTTGCACTATAATACCCTCTAGATCAGTGGTTCCCGAACTTTTTTCTTTTGCACCCCTTTCTGAAATCAAGAAGTGGTCGCGCCCCCCTTCCTAGCCCCATTATACAAAAACATTTTTTTTACTTACTGTAACTCTCTGAACTGGACTTTGGAAGAAGAGGAATGGGCATGACAGTGGGCAGAGAGCGTGCGCTGTAACAATGATCGCATGTCAAAGCTGCGTTGGCTTAGGTATGCGCTGTTGCCGAATTGTAGACATCCTTTTTTAAATTGTAACTGGTTTTTTATTTTAAAGCTTGAAATTTGTATTAATTTTTTAGAAGACTTACGCCCCCTTTAATGTTCCTTCACGCCCCCCCAGTTTGGGAACCACTGCTCTAGATCAATGATGAAAATATAAGTAAACACTCACCTACAATGAGTAGAGATAGTGGTGGAATGCATGAATGCATATTTATTATAAATATTAAATGCCTAAGGTGGAATAATACTTACTGCTATTTTTGTATATGCAGAACCTTCTTTAATTGCTTCAGCATCTACATTTTGTAGAAATTCTAAAACTAGCTCGGAACTATTTTTGAAATCTATAGAAGCATTAATTTGCTTGGCCAAATCAAAAACATAGTCTCTTGAACTGTCCGTTGAAAGGTAGCTCCAGAAATTTAATGGTGTGCCACTTTCCAACACAGCTCCTCTAAATAATCCTAGAACAAACAATAACAAAATGCTTTTCAATATTATATTAAACTTGAACTTTAAACAAAATATTCAGCAGAAACAACTGGTTCTAGTAATTAATATTTGCTTTGAGAAACAATAAGACAATAAAAAGTTTATTGCCTGTGCAGTTACATAAAAAATCACACCTTGACATTGAAAGTTGAATAATTTGCAAAGGACATATCAATAGATCCTTGGATTTTACTTTTGTCTAGTTTACAAAATAAAACCTGTATATTTGGATGACGTTAACGCGATTCATAGGCTGCATTGTCTAGCCAACCAACGTTCAATAAAAGTAACTAGTTTTGTGAAACCACCGGTTTTAGTATTTATTCATTTTTTTTTTCAACAGTGATGCATTATTTGCAGAAATGCAAAACTGAGAACCTAAAAGTTGGGATGTTTTACCTATTTTGTTTTTTTGAAAATAAGAATGAACAATTGAGGGATCATAAGATAAAGCATGGAAAACCATGCTGCATGGAAAAATTTAGCAAGAGTCTTGCAATCTTAGGACATCGAAGCTAGCAAATTAAATATCAAATGAGTAATGGAGTCATGTCATATGATAAAACGAGCATGTTTACAACACTTTTTTTTTCGTAGCTCATTGGAGGCTTTGTGCATGCAGATTTTCAATGTTAAATGTAAAAAGCTGGAAAAAGAACCTAAATCTACATAACAAACAAGCCAACTTTTCATCTACTCGTTAATTCATTAACAAATGAATTTAATTATCTAGTGAAAATGTTTTTTTACGTCACACTAATTGGAATTGGGAGAGAATAATAAATGAGTATCAAGTAGCTTTTTCATTGGAGTAGGTACCTCTCTGTCCACTTATTCAAAAATAACTCTAAGAACTTGTTCACTCGTTGTTAAGTATTTGTTAATTTATTTGTTATTCAATTAAATATTTCACAGTTCTAAGTCAACCTTCTAAGGTAGCGGGCGGCACTTTTCAGGCAGGCAAAGATACCCATGTGAGTATTGGCATATGTATTTCCAACGATCGTATATCGAACGCAAAACGAAGTAACTAAGTACCTATCCCAGAAGGGTAGGATTAGATGTCCAGAACTCCGCACCGATTATTTGTTCAACCTCAAGGATCTGGAGGAAGTAAACAATCGACGCGCACGAACTTGAAATCCCAAGACACCAGCAAACTTCACATAGCATCCTATAATATCAGTTCCATAACCAAATATGGAAAAACAATTTAAAGAAAGGAAAATCAGATGAGAATGATATACCTGATGGGACTCTCGTTAGTAAAGCGAACAGGGTAAAAAAGCTGCATTTTTGAATATATCATCCATCATCCTCAACATCAATAAAAGCCTTGATAAAAGCATTTCCCCGAATCCCATCCAGTGTTACGGGATGATTTTTCCCGCACCAAAATTAAAGGAAATAAGCTTATTCACCTCTCTGAATAGCATACCTTCCTCAAGCCACTGTTTTCTTTTCAATAGTTGTAGCCAAACTTTTCATTAAACTTTTTATTTTTCCCAGAATCATTAAGTTAGAGGTTTATTAATGGAATTGATTTTCTGTTAGTAGGGTTAAAGTTCAGTTCAGTAATTAGGAATCACTAATGCTTCCAATTGTCTAAAGGAGGCTGAAGATTGAAGGTACTACTTGAAACACACAGTAAGCTCAACGTTTAACCCTTTACTCAAGTTAAGGACTAAGCGTGACGAACAAAAGGTGACGATTAAAACGTAATGTCTAAGACTGAAGATTAAAGGCCTGAAACAAATGGACGTTATGAGACAGGGCGTGGAGCAATAGAGGTAGGTATGTCCGATATTCGGAATTTAACCGTATAATTAACAGAAAACTATGCTTTTACATAGGAAATAGAGAAACACAGAGAAGATTAATAAGAAAAACCACTTACCAAAATTACTTTTGGCCTTTGGGAACAAACAATTGACCACGTTGCTTTTTCGACTCACAAAAAAAAAATCTGCACAAGGCGATTGGGTGCTAAAATAACGGATTAGCCACCCTAGATCTATGAGCGAAAACTAGACAACTCAGAAAATCGGCAAAATGTGCCTAAGGAATTTTCCCGAACACTTAATCGTGGAAAATCCTCAACCTGAATGACCTCTTATTGTCCCTGCAAGGTCCTTCAAAAAGTCTCTGTCAAAACTCCAAGGTGGAAGGTACTGGGGATTTTGATGGTAGTTGGGGCATGGTACTTATTCAAATTAAGTTAGTACCGGTCACTGACTCTATTTGGAGCGCTGTCAATCTAGACAATCTACTCGGATCAGACAATCAGCTGTTCTAGTGTAAATATTGTGATTTTGTTTTATTAATAAAGTAATTGTCTATTTATTTTAACCCTACTAACAGAAAATCAATTCCATTAATAAACCTCTAACTTAATGATTCTGGGAAAAAATAAAAAGTTTAATGAAAAGTTTGGCTACAACTATTGAAAAGAAAACAGTGGCTTGAGGATGGTATGCTATTCAGAGAGGTGAATAAGTTTATTTCCTTTAATTTTGGTGCGGGAAAAATCATCCCGTAACACCAGGTCTATGCACCGATCTCCAACAGCAATAATTATTAAATAGAAATTTTCCTTCAATACCTATCAACAGCCATAGGCGAAGGTAGAGCAACAACTATCATTACGGGCAATTTAAATGCCAATCGGAGTAGCAAGCAAGACACTGAAAATAAAATTAGCAACTTCGGATAGGGATCCAGAAATAAGAGAGGCCACACCATTTCTAGACACTCGAAAGTTTCAATAGAAAAAGAACCTGAATTCTTCTGTGTTCTGAGAGCTAGAATCGGAGTCAGGCTCAATTTATAGTCGAGAATGTGTCATCAATCATAAGTAAGCGGAGAAAAATCGCAGGCCTGTCGGGAGTCAATGAATACAGCAGATCCACTGAAACCCCCAAAACTTGTATACTTACCAGTTAAAAAAAAAAAAAAACAAAAATGTTACCGCTAAGGGAATTCAGTTTTAGGGACCTTGTTGCGGTAAAAATTAGATTGTCAGCTGGGGGTGGGCGGATCTGCCTACCTTCCAGGAGATGATCCTCAAGAGCCACCATCCAGGGAAGTACAGAACGTAGTGATGAGCTGCAGAGCAAATCGCAACTCATAATGGAATGTGATGCGAATGCACAGCAAACTATATGGGGCAGCACAAACACCAACAATAGAGGTGAGTCATTACTACAATTTACTATGGCAAATAGTTTAGACATATTAAACGTAGGAAATAAACCTACCTTTATAAAAACTGTTAGAAAGGAGGTACTCGACATCACGGTATCTACAACATTTATTAGTGGCTTCGTGAAAAAGTGGCATGTGACTAATGATGTAAGTTGTTCAAATCACAGACACATTAGCTTTGAAATTACAGTACACAGTCTTGAAACTTGAAAAATTGGGAAGCCTATCTAGTACAGTAAATAGAGACAAATAAGTCGCATTTACTAAAAAAAAATACTTAATGGCTGAAATTTTGAGGGTGTGTTCGAGGGCATGTCCTGAGTCTTAAACTGAGTTTTCGTATTCGAGGGGGTGGGGGAAGAAGAACTCAACCCTACATAAAGAGGAGGTAGTATCTTCCCCCACCCCCTCGAATACGAAAACTCAGTTTTAGACTCAGGACATGCCCCCGAACACACCCTCAAAATTTCAGCCATTAAGTATTTTTTTTTAGTAAAATATCCCTATTTACTGTACTAATCAGGCAGACCTGGGGGATAATTTGCGGGCCGTTAAAACGACGATAAGAAACAGCGAAGACTTGGACCTAGCAGCGGAATAACTGCAGACCGCTGTTACATCCGCCTACATGAACAACTGTCCTGTTATCACGAGTAATTCCAACAGGAATGTGTCCTGGTGGAACAACGACCTCAGAAAACAAAGGAAGAAAACAAGGAACCTTTTCAACAGAGCAAACCGAACAGGAGAGTGGAGCGAGTACCGTAAAGCTCTGACTAAATATAACAAATGCTCTCTAAGAACATTAAATGGAAACTACGCTCAGACCGGACAGGAAATTCTGGAAGAGCTTCACAGAGTACACTTCCCGGGAAGTATGATCTTTGAAGAAAACCCCGAAAGCCGTTACTATGTAGACCAAGCTACAATCAGATATGGCACTAGGAAAGACTGACAGATGGCAAAAAAAGGAGTAACATGGTGCAGGCTAAAATGGGTCATTGACTCATTCGAGCCATATAAATCGCCAGAACCAGATGGGATTTATCCAGTATTATTACAAAAAGGCAACAGCACGCTATACTCCAGGCTCCTGATTATATTTAGAGCAAGCTTGGGACTAAATCATATCCCCAAAGCCTGGAAAGAAATCAGAATTGTCTTCATCCCCAAACCTGGCAAAATAGGTCGGGACAATGCAAAAGCTCTGGAACACATAAGCCATGTCATCTTTGTTGAAGGCTCTAGAAAAATTGCTTGAGCTCCACATTCGGGGTGGTGCATTGGCTACCAGATCAATACATCCGGACTAAGTTATGTTGGGAGCCTTCCTTGATATGGAGGGAGTGTTTGACAACACCTCCTTCGAGATAATCATCAGAGCTCTACGCCGACGAGGTATTGATGATACATGTTGCCGATGGATAGACTGCATGCTTCGAGGTAGAGTCTTCCACTCCACGCTCCTAGGTAAAATAGTAACCGTTCGAGTTGCAAAGGGATGTCCGCAAGGCAGAGTGTTATCAGCCCTGCTGTGAAATCTGGACGAGCTGATAGAGCTACTGAAGAGCAACAACCATTAAGTAGTGGGATATGCAGATGACTTGGTCACAATATCCCAGGGAAAGTTCAACGATACAGTTAGAGATCGCATGCAGCAAGCTCTAACAATTGGCTCCAGGTGGACAGAGAGTGTAGGGTGGAAAATTAATTCCACCAAATCGACAATTGTCTCCTTTACCAAAAGAAGGAAAATGGAGGGGCTTCGATCTCTTTACCTTTAGAGAAACCCAGTTACCAATATCTTGGGGTAATCATAAGCTCAAAATTTACTTGGAACGGAACAAACATCTGGACAAAGTAATTGAAAGGTCAGAATTGGTACCTACCTATACTAGCAAGGAGAACTTTCGGAAAAACCTTTGAGGCTGCTGCCGGACATGATGCACTGGCTATAAACAACGGTTGTGAAGCCAGCAATAACCTATGCGTCTTTGATATGGTGGACAGAGACACAACAAGACAGAGCCAGAATGAGACTTGGCAGGGTGCAAAGACTTGCCTGTCTGGGCATTACAGGGTGCATGAAAAGCACACGAACAGCAGCTATGAAAGTCCTACTAGACCTACACATCCTAAACATTGTGATTCAGGCGGAAGCCAGGATGAGCCTTCACGGACAACGAAACAACCTGAGCAAACTAACAGTCAAATCAGGCCACACACAAATAGGGGAAGTCATAAATCTGACAGTATTCGACATGATAACTGACTGTGCACTTTCCAAATACTCACCCGACATATCCTTCCAAGTCCTAATTAGTGAAAGGGGGAATGGGAAAACCAATATGCACTCTCCCATCTCAAAGGCCAGACCTGGTACTTGGACGGGTCAAAGACTGAGAATAGCACAGGCGCAGGAATCTACACTCAATATGCGAGACCTTCTTTTCTCTAGGGTCACATACATCTGTTTTCCAGGCCGAGGCGAGAATCAACAAAATGAGGGCCTGCAAAGACAGGAGACTCACTTCACTCACAGACAGTAAGGCAGCACTGGAGGCATTAAAAAACCCTGAGGCAAACTCTGCACTGGTAATAGAATGCCGAGAAGAACCAACCACTTGGCAGACAAAAATAACGTCACATTGATGTAGGTGCCGGGAAATAGAGGTATTCCGGGCAACGAAAAGGCTGACGAACTTGCACGCAAGGAGTCATCCATAGAATACCTTGGTCCCGAACTAGCTCTCGGAGTACCCAAAAGCACAGTAAGAAAGGAGCTGGAGGAATGGATCAAAGCAAAACATGCTCAATACTGGAAGCAAATACCCGAGTATGCACATGGGAAATCTCCATACAGGAGACATGCAGCAAAAGAGCAAAACGACTGCTACAACTAAGTAGGAATCAACTCAGAGTAGCAACCGGCTTTCTTACTGGGCATGCCCCAGTAAAGGAGCATCTGCAAATAATGGGCTTATACAACGGAGACACGAGCTGCATATTATGCGGAACAGAGACTGAAACAGCCCAACATATTATATCAGAATGCGGTCCATTAACTCGCAGAAGACAAAATATATTTGGAGAAGATGAACTAGATACAGACACATACGGCAACAGACCTACTTCGCCTACTGCAGGGAATCAGGGTTTTGGAATGGGTGTAGTAAACAGGAAGATTCAGCACAATAAGCCTCCGGCTGCAGCGCTACTCGGAGTTTAATCAGACAACTTCCCCACCAAAAAATAAAGATGATTAGCGCTAAAATAAGGAAATTGAAGAAGTCTTCTGAGAGATGGAACACGATATATCGAGGAATATGGAAAAATCAATAAAAAAGTATGACTCTCAAAGAAGATAAGCAATTATAGAAAAAGTCGCAGGAGATATACCAGGTATCAAAGACAATTACTGGCTTTTTGACCTATGTTGAAAGAGGTCGGAAAAACAGGAATAATAGGAATAAGATCCATGTAGCTCAGCTTATCAGAAAAAGGACATGGTTGTGACTCAGGTATACTCCGCATCGAAAATTTTGCGTCCAGTATCAGGAATGCAGTTTGTTAGTACCATTAAAATTGCAAAAATGCTTTCGATCGCACAATCATTTTCAGTAGGTTCTTGCAAATCTAGATAAATACTGGACGCTGCTATAGACGTTGTCCGGCGATTGCACTAGCGAACTCATCCACAAATCCTCTGTGCGGAAGTACGAAAATGGACTGATGTCAGAATCTACCATCCCAGTTCGTTACTCTGACAAATATACGAACTGGCTAAGAAAATCATCACCAACCGCTTATCAGCTAATATCGACAGCAACCAACCCGTTAAATAGAAAAAAAAAAAAGCCACGGTTTTACTAGTAACCATATTTTCATCATTTAAATTGTCATAGGAAACGCCAACGAATACCATGCGCTTTTGGGGCCAACAAATAATTTTATAACATCAACATGAAACTAGACTGCTTCGATGGAATTTACTTTTTGCAGGAGACTGACATAATTATGCTCTAGATTAGGATGGGGGTGAACATTTTAGAAAGCCTCTCCTACAGTTTTCAATATCTGCACATAGTAAGTGGAGCCAATTTAATTCACATATACATACAACGATCTACGTGACCTACCCACCTTTATTTTTCTCATGCAAAAGTTGGTATCCCACCGAGGAAGCGCCAGCGCTTTGTCCTGCTATAGTAATTGCTGATGGATCTCCTCCAAAAGACTCGATATTTTCAAAAGTCCATTTGATTGCCGCAGCTTGATCCTTAAGGCCTGCATTACCGGGTATAATGGTGTCTCCAGCGGCCAGAAATCCAAAAGGACCCAATCTACATATGGTTGATAATTTAAAATGTTTGCAATATATGGGTGTCCCAGGGATAACAGTCCACCCGGATTTATTGGATTTGGGATGAGAATCTGGATAAACGCTCGGACATGTCGATATTTGATTAGAGGGGGAACTATTTTTCAGTTTTTTTCATCCCCGTAGCTTCAACCCCCTATCTAGAGGGAGACCAATCCCCCAAATTTGAATACGGAATAGGGTTCTTCAATCAAGTTCTTTATGTCCCTAGAATTTCGTCTTATTATTTTCATATATAACTAAATGTCAGCTTGTCAAAATCTTGGAAATGGACTAGTGTTTTAGTAGGAGTAAAAGCGGTACTTACCTCCTTTAATAATAAAAATACGAGTAAAAATACCTACAATTTACAATTCTCGTGTACATCTCATTATTAATCACGATAAAAAACTCAAATTTGAAGTATTTTTATTAAGGGAGGTAAGTATCGCTTTTACTCCCACTAAAACAATGGCCTATTTCTAAGATTTTGACAAGCTGTCATTTCGTTACGGATGAAAATAATGAGATAAAATTCTACGGCCATAAGGAACTCCATAAGACCTTTAAAAAGAGATGTGAAACGAACCCTATTCCATATTCAAATTTGGGGGATTGGTCTCCCTCTAGCTAGGGGGTTGAAGCTACGGGGATGAAAAAAACTGAAAAATAGTTCACCCTGAAATCAAAAATCGACGTGTCCAAGCGTTTTTCCAGATTCTTATCCCAAATCCAATAAATCGGGGTCGACTGTTTTCCCTGGGACACTCTGTATATAATATCTAATAAAATCATACGGACCTGTAACTAATAGTTACAATAACAATATCCTTTTCAATCAAAAAATCCGGTCCAAAGTTGCTATAAAGTGCATTTCCATGACTAAAGCCTCCACCATGGATCCAGAGTAAAACTGGAAGTTTAGTCGCATTTCTCTAATAAAAAATATTGAAATACAATTAATTTCTTTGTTAAATAATAATTGCAATTGTTATTATTCGCCATTCGGTATTGGAAAGGCGATTATAATCTAGTTATAATTTTTTTTTCTGATTTCGAGAAAAATCTAAAGGCACGTACAGATACAGCGAACGAAAAGACGAAAGAACCGACTTTGCAAAATTTCGGTTTTTCCGAAAATGTTCGGAATTTTTCAAAGGTCAAAGTACCATTTTATTGAGCGTTAAATTGCGCAGTTTTTTCCTAATTTAACCAACATTGTAACTCCAGCGATTCTCCGGATCTTAATGCTATCTCATCCTTATCTTGGACACACTGTATTATTATGTTTTTCCTAACTTACGTTGCTTAAAACAGGCGTGTAAACATTCAGATGCAAACAGTCCTCACTTTCCCCAAGAGTGTCAGATTTCAAAGTATAGCATACAATAGTATTTTTAGTAGCGTCTAAAATACCTTTCCATGGTCTAGGTTCTTCGGGAGCCTAAAACGGGTATTTTTATTAAATTGTCTTTTTTTCTAGCATATTTCTACCAAAAATCTCAAAGAACCGATTGGTGGTGCTGCATAAGGAATTCCTTGAAAAGCTCTAAATCTGAAATTTGTCGTGGTCGTCAAAAAGCTACCTCTAAGGGTTCCTTGTTTGACTGTAACAAGAGTGTCATCGCAAGACTGGAAAGAAATATAGTAAGTACTTATTTTTAGTAAGAAAATAGAAGGAGAAAACTTACAATATCACAAAATTTCAACAAAATAAGTGGGATTATAAACACACGTTTCATCTTGCTATGTTTTGAAATAATAATAATTATCTTAATCAATAAATAATAAAATAGGTTACGCAGATATTACATGATAAGATATCATTTGAGTGTTTATTACGTAAGTTACCTGACCCAAATAAAACCACGTACCGAATTAGGCCAGTGCCCTTTATTGCTCAATATTAAATCCCATTCCATCCAAACCGCATATTTGGTTCCAATTCATATTAGATCGTAGGCCCACTACCAAAAAATGCAACGTATGCCCTCTGAGGTTTTGGTAGGTAATTATGCATATGCTCGTCATCAACGTAGCAAAATTAGCGGGTGACCGCGGGACTTCCTCTGAAGAAGTCAATTGTTTATTGTTTTAAAAAAAAACGAGCTTTGGAATGATAGTGCAACATATGCTGAGCATACCAGTCGATATTAATAAATGAAAATTGGATAACGAACGGCATACGGTGTCATCGGATCGGCCCTCATCATCAAATCATCATTCAAAAATGGAGAATTTCAACAGACCTTAAGATCCCACGACACCGTGAGCACATATTTTAACTTTACTCAGGCCCGCACACCCCTTATGAATCCACGAACAACAACTAGAACATTCTATGGAGGTTGGATTACTCTTTCACACGGGGGACACAAATATGCTTCCGCCATCCTGAACTCTATCTGCATCTCATTGTCATAATGGTCAAATTATTCATGAGTAAACATCTTTTACGGCGGTATAAGAGTGAATCAAGGAAAATGGGATGGAAATGTGAAAGCGGAAGTGACGTTAAAACCCATGTGCAGTAGTTAGCGCGCAACTACTTGAGCGCTTGCGGCATAAGGTGGTATTAGATTTCCATTTGCAGCTGTTCTGTGTAGATATTGAAGTATTTTGTAATCAACTAATTATAATATAATTGATTTAATGAATAAAAAACATAGTTACCGCCGAGGTTACCGCTCACGAGATATTTACAAATCAGTGTCTCGAATACTAGTAGACTCTATTTTGATATTATTTGTTTTCATTTTGTCCAGTAAAATCATGTTTTAATGGATCAAATTCAATGTAAATTTCTTATGGTAATCGAATGCATCCTTTATATGCGGAAATCCTAACGTGTTGTTGACCTTTCTCTGTACGCTTTTGGCGAATCATCAATATCCCAATAAGTAAAAACAAGATGCAAAACACATTAACTTCTTTAAGTGTAAAATTTATAGACGTGAAATCAAGATCAGAATCACAATTTATTTTAGCTTACTCCCTATTTCCTTCGTAATTCGGAAGGAAGTAGGTATCGAAGAATAATAGTTTTTTTTTTACGTATTGAGTTATACTAATCTTAACACTTTATTTATTGTGCGTTATGTAAAGTAATAAGTTTTTTTTTGAAGTGTTTTTACCGCATATAGATACCAATAATTAGGATTCAGAAGTTCCTCAATGATTTGGGATCAATTTCCGAGCCGTATCATTTATGGTGAATTTATTAAACAAATATTTTCGAAGTTTTCCCTAATTATTGGATGGGAAGTGGTTCCCGATTATCATTTCCAAGCAAAATCATGCTCAAAATATGTTGGGTACTTTGATCGATTAAATTTATAGCTCTTGTGATATAATATATGAAAAATCTTGTAATTCGATTATGTCGAACATCTTCTCATTTATCCGTATTTGAGAGTGCTTGTTATACCCCTGCTTGCCACGTACAAAATGGGGTATGATTTCCTAAAGCTCCGTTTCATGATTAACCTATTGTATCTATGACACTGATTTGCCAGAGGGGCGTTCGCTGGCTAGGTAGCGGTGGAGAGGGTTGCCAGGAGGTTGCAAGTCGGGAAAAAATCAAAATCTGGAACAATTGCCTCATGCACGTAACTTTCTTCTTAGAAGTGGCTCAGAAGGTGGCTAAAAAAGAAATAGTAAAGACTGAGAAGCTCAGTAAAAAAACCAGAGAAAAAATCGATCAAAGTAATAAACTGTCAAGAGAGAACAAACCACAAGAATACAAACAGATATCGAAGGAAGCGAGACAGCTAATTAGAAAAGATCTTCAAAAATACTGGGAAGTTCAAGTTGAGAGGGCGATAGACGAAAATAAAAAACTTAAATGCATAAGAAAGGTTGAACACAGAAGACAGATAATATGTCTTAAAAACAGAGACAACTTAGAGACAAGAGACGTAGAAAAAATAATGGAAATAATCGAAAACTTTTACAAGGAACTTTATAAATACTTCCCCAACAAATGAGTATCCCACATATCGAACAACTCAACAAAAGATTTTGAACGTTGGTTCAATAGAAATGCCCGACATAAATGAAGACGAAATAATGATAGCATTAAAAAATATGAAAAACAACAAAGTACCAGGAAATGACGACATAACAATAGGACTTATAAAAGGAGGAGAAGCTATAATCACAGAATTATGCGAACTATTTAATAAATGCCTGGAAGAGGGGAAAATACCAGATGCATGGAATAACGCTATAGTAATCCTACTATAAAAGGTGATAAATCAGACCTAGAGAATTACAGGCCTATTAGTTCACTTTCCCAGATCTACAAACTTTTCACAAAGATACTAATAAACAGAATTTCCAACAAACTGGACGACTACGAGCCTGTAGAACAAGCTGCATTCAGAAAAAACTATAGTACATGTAGGACTTCGCAAGACCAAGACCAAGACCAAGACTGGCCAGTCTTGGTCTTGGTCTCGAAAAATAAATGCGCGGTATTGGTATTGGTCTTGGTCTTGATGTTTCAAGACCAAGACAAGACTGGATCAGTCTTGGTCTTGGTCTTGGTCTTGATAATCTTGAAAAAAATTCATACCAAATTTTTAAAATACACATAACATCCAACAACACAGCAGAGATAATGGGTTTAGGACTTCAAAAATGAAAAATAAATCTCCCTTTCTGAAAAAACTATGCCGACGTTTCGACCATGCATTTAGTCTTCTTCACAGGCTATTTTTACCACCAAGAGCGTTTCATGTCAAAAAATACGGCATAAACCATTCCACAATACAGAGGAACAAACAAACATCAATTCTTAAATTATAATTTTTATCAACGGAACAGGGAAGTCGACAAACACATCATGAAATTGCCATTCTGTACCGAGGAAAAAAAAAAAATTCTTTTTGAACCATACATTAAACCTACCTTATCTACCTGCGCATTCAGGCCAGAGAAAGGTTATCGGAAACCTTCACATATTCACATACCTCATTTGAATTTTATTGGCCTATTCACAATAAATAGATTTGGATTAGTTTGGATGGGTGAGATGTGGGGTTTGTGTTAGTTTGGGTTAGTTAGTTAGTTAAGAATTATCTTTGGAAATTCCAATAGTTAGGTATTGTATTATGTAGGGATAGGAAAATATCGATGTGTTCTGTGTAAATGAATGTTACCTACACTATGTTGTACGTACGTATTTTTAAAACCTATAATACCTTCTCGTGAATTTCAAAAAATAATAAATTTGATGAATTGATTTAATTAAAAGACATTAAGAGAAGATATAGGAATTTGCATATTTTTATAAATATTGAGTCGATTTTTTTTTTCGAGACCAAGACCAAGACGAGAGTCTTGAGAGAGAATCTTGGTCTTGGTCTTGGTCTTGGTCTTGAACGTCAAGTCTTGGTCTTGGTCTTGAGTAGATTTATCAGGTCTTGGTCTTGGTCTTACTACCAAGACCAAGACAAGACCAAGACTAGTCTTGTGGTCTCGCGAAGCCCTAAGTACATGCGATCATCTCCTGACGATGAGACCGCTTATGGAGAAAGTCACAGAGTACAACCTTAACATCTGCCTGGCGTTTATAGATTTCTACAAGGCATTTGATTCTATAGAACACTTGGCGCTTATGAATAGCTTAAGGGACGCACGCATAGATCACAGATATACCCAGCTTTTAGAAAGTATATATAATAACGCAACGTCTACAATTAAACTACACGGGAACACGAATAAAATAAACATAAATAGAGGGATCCGCCAGGGAGATACTATCACCTAAACTATTTAATTTGGCTCTTGAGGGAGCATTTCTACGTGTTCAATGGGAACAGAAGGGTATACTAATCAATGCAGATCGACTTACCCACCTGAGGTTTGCCGATGATGTGGTACTTATTGCGGAGAATCCGGACGACCTACGGGAAAGGCTGCTTGAAGTGGACGCAGAGCTGGGCAAGATCGGACTACAAATGAACTTAAATAAGACCAAAATAATGTACAAAGAAGATATCCAAATAATTATTCAGGACCAACTCATTGAAAAAATAAAAAGCTATACGTATCTTGGGCACCAACTAAAACTGGGAAAAAAAAACCAGACCACCGAGATATACCGCAGAAGAAGACTAGCACACTGAAAAAAGGATTTAGTTATAATAACCCAAAATTAGTGACTATTACTAAATCGCTTATTGAAATATGGCTTATTAAACCTTTGGTCATAACACACAAATTATTTGTTTAAAATTTGAGAATAAAGCACTTATTTAATGATATACTCTATCTAATAATAGTTAATTAACGCATATTAATAATAAATAAATATTTTGTTCTCTGAAGTTGGTGTTTGCTTCTGGATTTTCTGTCTTTACTAATAGTAAATTGATCATATTTTTCAAAAATATACGTTTGTTAATAATAAATTCTGGTTTCTTTTGCTGGATTAAATATAACTTTATATTTATTACCAGTAAGTAAACAATACTTGATTCAAATAATCATTTATTAATAGTAAAAAACGTTTATTCGCAAATATTATTTAGCTTTGTTACTGTTAATTTGGAATTATTTACCATAAGTATTTTTTTTCTTTAAGCCCGGTTGTACAATTGAAGCCTATCATGGCTTAGTTAAGCTTTCTGGTACTTGAAACCTTCCCATTTAAAATGCACAGCTGTAAGATTTGACAACACGTTGACAGTAATGCATTTTAAATAGGGAAGTACAAGTAACAGTTAAGCTTTAATAAGCCACGATTTATAAGCTTCGATTGTACCACTGGGCCTTAGTTTGTTCCTGGGAATAGGGCACTCTGAAATAATTAAAAACGAACCGATCTTTTTTTGAATTTATTTTTCTTCGGTAGGCTAGATTCTCACATACGTAACATCATTTTGTTGAACAACATAGCAACATGGCGGGTGTGCATGCGGCGACCTGTGAATGTAATAATGAACTATAACTCGATTATCTTCTCAGGTGTAACAGGAAAAAAAGGTGAATACAAAGTTGCTTGGTACCTATTAATTAACTGGCGCTTCTTCAGAAAATATTCTTACGTTTGCAGTTTTATAAAACAAGTTCAGCATCACCATCACAGCACGTTTCCAAAAACCGTTGTAATTCGACACTGTTGTGTTCCGCCACGCTATCTTCCACGATTTAATAATTATTACACTTAGAGTTGGGATAAATCATTTATAAGTTGACTGTTAACTTTGTATTTCGCCGAAGCACGCCAGAATAATGCAAAAGTAGGGAGTCGGTGGAACAGATAAAACATAGGTCAAGGTGTTTCTTCTTTCACGCCTCGAAACCAAAAGAACGAATAGCTCACAAATATAGGCGATAGACAGTGGGGACGGTGGCGGGTGTACCAACGTTTGTTTACTGATATTATAATTTATGTATGGAAAATAAGGATTTATTATTAGAAACCAAGGAACAAGTTGAAATTTCAACTAAACTGTGTTAAAATGGAACATTATATATTTATTAATCTACAGTTACCATTTGTTTATAATTACTAAACCAGAACATTCTGTTAATAAATTATATTTATAAAACCCTTGTAAATCAATGTAAGAAATATTTTGTTCATTATTAACAAACATTGTTTGATATAAGAAAATTAGTCCTAATAAATTATTTGTATTTTATAAATAACAATTTTTAACAGTCATATTTTTAATTACCAATTTAATGTATTTCTTACCAATGCATATTAATTATAATATTGGTTTGGTATTTGTAACCAAATTTGTCAGAAACAAATATTTATTTACTATAATCTCGAATTTTTTTTCAGTGCATGGACGGCATTTGGAAGACTTGCGCATATTCTAAAAAACCAGACTATCCCCTTGAGATTGAGATCAAGACTATTTGATCAGTGCATTCTTCCTGTACTAACCTATGTCAAACATGGACATTAACAAAAGTAACAATGACCAAAATGGCCGTAACCCAAAGATACAGAAAAACCAATGAATGGATTAGAAACACTACGAAAGTCAGAGATGTGATCGAAACCATTGCCACGCAAAAATGGAACTATGCCGGATACATAGCCAGATGTACAGACGCGAGATGCAATAACAGACTGTTGCACTGGAGACCATACATAGGACGACGAAATAGAGGACGACCACCAATGCGCTGGACAAACGACATAAAATTAACAGCAGGGTTCAATTGGATAAGAAAAGCACAAGATAGAAGGATATGGTGCCATATGAGGGACGCCTATGTTCAGAAATGGACTGTGTAGAGAGGCGATTGAGATTGAGATTGAGATAAAATACCCTAGATATGGTCCGCTGGGTGGGCGGTGGTGGAATCAGGGTCCGCTGATGGCCCAAAAGGCGCCAAAAACCGTATTTATGAAATCCATTTCCTAAAGCTTGAAATTTTGTAGGAAGCCACTATTTTTATTGAGATTTACGAAAACAATTGTCCGCCCACATAACAGTGAAAGAACATTCAGCCACGCGCTATTATTGATCTACATCTTGCCTCGCGTTTGAATCACCTTGGAACCTGTTTTTCTCAGTTGGCGTGCTTACCGCGATGAGAGCATAATAAGCTTGAAACTGGAGCTTTGGTTAAACACTTGTGTTTTCCAGAGAAATTTTCCCACAACTCTTGCACTGCCTTTAATGTTAAAGGGACTGAAAGGAGCATTATTTGGTTGGATGCGAAAACATTCCAAGTATGTCCCCAGAATCAAACAAGAATGTTATGTCTAGGATGCATATTGTGAATGATATTAGATATATTCTAAGAATATTTCAAGCATATTGGTTGTATTGTATTGAAAACACAACTATTGTGTCTATAGAAACATTCTTTGAATGTGAGAATAAATATACATTTCTAGCATATTTTTAGAATCAAACAGAAATATTCTTTTCAGGATGTACTGAGCATCTCATAAGTATATTCTAGGAATATCCTAATGGATTTCCCAGGAAGTTCTTGGGTGTTGCAAACAGTATTTCTACAATCTTTTCTCAGAACATTCTCAGGACATTCGCAATGGTTTTGGCGAATATTCTAGGCTTCCTCTTAAAAAAAGAACATTCTCAGTACATTCTAAGGATGCAATTTTGTTATGTGGGCGCTGCCTGTATGTGGGTGAAAAAGCCGTCCGCTGGTGGGATGAAGGAAGATAAAAGTACCCAGCATAAACGCGTTTAGTCCAGGGAATATAGGTTTCGATCTCGCATTAACTGATGGGGTTCCAATTTCATCAGGGATATTATATAGGTATATATTCTTTTTTAAGGTGGTTGCGTGTATAAAAGTACGAAAAGACGTCGCCACCACATTTATATACCTTCATTTTATTATGCTATTGAAGCCATATCTTATCATAACTATTATAATTATTATTATTATTCATTACTTCGCCGATTTTTTGGAACCATTGAGAGATAATTTTCCTATTATTGTAATAAATATGTCACCCCCTTATCTCTATCATGAAAGAAAATATGTGTTTATCACAGAGGAACATTAGTCCAAACGTGAAATGAAGCCTTACTATTGCTGAGTTCTTACAACATGCTTTAAAATTAGACCAATGAAATATGGTTGACTCAATTTCAAATTATTGGAAACACAGTTATTCTTTAAATTATTTGAGTAGATTTCCATGATCAAGTCTCAACACAAAAGCTCATCTTCGAAATACCATATTAAGAGACCGGACAATCAAAATTAAAAATCAAGACAGACTATTTCTTTAAAAAAAAAAGCAAGGCTACATCCTGATATATAAAGATGAAAACTGGTATATTTGCCAAAACAATATTCCAAGCGCAGTCATTAGCTTTTTACATCTCGTTCTTCTTTCGTCAAGTTCTGAAAAACCGTAAACAACAAATATAATAATGTTGTTTCAGACAATTGTGTTGGTTTTGAGCTGTTCTGTCGTTATAATTGCTGCAGGGAAAGGGCCTACAGGTTTACGTAAGTAGCATTATATTTTTCCATGGATTTTAAAATTCTAAAGTGCCAATTAGGGCACTCCTAGATAAACAATTATTTGAAATTCGCCAACTTTAAGTGGATATGGACGATATGGTCTTAACAACTGCATTTGAATAATCCGGTTTTTTCAACATTTACTTCGTACCTAACAAAATCATTTTAAAACGAATGGTTTAACTTTTAAACTGTTAGATTCTTGCTTTGTTTATGTTTGTAGTTTTTCTAGCAAAGTTTTAATAATTTAAATTTTTGTTTCTACTTCAGAAATTTGCCTTGAGTTGTTTTATAAATTCTTCAACTTTGCATGATATTTCTTTCCCACAATCGTAAATTTTGATTAAAAGACTCTTCATGTACTCCAATTTTCTCAGTCTCCAACTTCCATATGCATTTATTTTTTCAATATTGTCTAACTAAAATGTTAGATGACATTATTTCACCATCATGTCTGTGGTCGTCCCCTGTTTAGGTTTCGAGAATTGGTCATTTAGGCACTTAAAAGGGCTCTTTTCCCTCCAGTCTCCAGGGGAAGAAAATATTTCTCTTTAAGCTTTGCAATAGTGGAAATAAGGACAAACAGACTGGTATTGTGAACATTTTTACTTTTCTTGAAAACGTTTCGACGGGAATGTCATCTTGAAACTAAAAGATTGAACACAATACAATAGAATATAAAGGGACCATCATCATTCAACAATAATGATCGAGTTATGAAACTATCAATATTCCTTTTATTGTTGGCAAAGGCTACTTATAAATGTTTATAATTTTCTAATTTGCTTATAAATTTCCATGAAATTTTCAATAGGTACATTTTATGGAAATAATGGATTACTCACCTATTTTTAGCTCTTAATCGTATTTAGTTATTCGTTTATCTCTATTTTTACAGCTTTCTAATTTTAATAAAAAATCTTTCAAATTTTTCAGCAACCTATATTAAGCCCTGCAATGCCAATGATCCAGAACTGAACAAATGTTTTGCAGAACATGCGAAAGAAGCGGTTCCTTTCTTAGTAAAAGGTAAGCAAGCTTTTTATGAACACTTATATTATTATTTTTCGATACGATGTATAAATAGGTATAAAGTAAATCTTCATTAGACGAATATTGTTCATACTTTAACATGATAATACCATACATTCAACGGTTTTATTTATTTTGTCATCAATTTCCTACGTTTTATTAGTCTTTCGACATCTTATCGTTAACTCTTATTCACACATGAGACAAATGAATATGCAATTATTTTTGTAAATGTCATTTTTATTTTATTACCCACTTTATTCAATAGGGACCGGTCACAAATTGAAATTCGCGACCCCTAGTGAGAGATGTCAAAAGATTTTGTATTGATAGTTTGTCAAATTTTCACTAGAATTTCGAAAAATGGAGCTGGAAATACATTTTGGTTTCCAAAATATAAAATTTAATCACCATGAACTTGCATACAAAAAAGGTGTGGCTCTAGTGAAAGCTAAACTTGTATTGCAAGTAGTTGAACGAGATTTTGGAGGGGACTTATCCATTTTGAAAGGGCATGTTATGCGCCAAACCTCCATAAACACCTCTCCTTATGCTGTTGAGCTAGGTATAACAATAAAATGGACGCTACAAATCCTTGACTGTCTTTCTGGCTCCCACATTTTACTATTTTTTGAATTGGATCTTAAAACGATAAAGAGTAAAGTAACTACAGGCTTTTTTTTTCCCCAAGATAGATTTTGACATCCTCAACTTTGAAACATAAACAATGCCGCTTATTGCTCGGAACATGCCATTTGCACTGATAGCAATTTCCATTTGTCGAACCAGTGTAATTTTTTTTTATCCTTATCCTTACATGTTACATGCTTTTAGAAAAAGATGCGGATAAACTTACTGCGCACTGACTGGCAAATGGAAATCACCATGATGTCAACCTGCAGGGACACCTCATTTTGCGACCAATCAGGGCCAAGAGGTATTGTTTACGTTTCAAAGTTGACAATGTCAAAATCTATTTTATGAAAAAATAGACAATAAATCAATACGAAAACTCAGTGTATAGTTCCTGTGTCTTTCCTGATCATGGGACCGACTAGGAAAACTGTAGAAGTGAACATTTCCACTTGTGTTGGCATAATTATTGCCACAGTTAACAACACAATAATTTGTGAAACTGTTCCTGGGTAAAGGCATGACAAGTAGTGGGTATGCACAATAGCCTGAATAAAAGATAATAAAAAGCGTTTGGCAAATAATAATTACAAGAAAAAAAGTGAAATTAAATGCAATTGTTCCGTGTAAACAACCATACCTTTATAATGAAAAATATTTCGCTTTGAAATCGTTTTTAATAACAAAAATTACATTTGTGTAAATGGAATCAAGCACTTGTCATAATACAAGAACTTACATTGCTGTCGAAAGAGGGCGCTACTGTAGTTTATGGACGGACTCTATAGGGCAAACAAACATTAGCATTTTCTTGAGTTCTTATTGGACTAATTGAAATGGTATCGTTGGTACCAATAACGATACAATAATTGCCGAATCAACGTTTGTATCTTATAATGATTGAAATTTTTAACTTGTAGCCTTGTAGTAGGTATAGTCGAATTTACTATTTTGTTATACTAGACATTTAATTTACTTAAAATGCTTCATTATTTTCATTTCAGGGGATAAAAAATACAATGTCCACGCCCTAGATCCTCTTTTTTTGGAAAGGGTAGATCTGAGACCAAATAATCAAATAATACTAAAATTACAGAAAGTTAAAATCCTAGGACTCGGAGGTCTTAAAATAAAGGAAGCCAAGTAAGTATATCTAAATGCATGACTGCAATGAGCTATAGTACATTCTGGTAAGATTTATGTAGGTAAATGCCTTACCAATATGTCTCTAATTTTCAGTGTCGATTTAAAAAAGAGACACATCAAATTGACTATGTCAGTTTCGAAGTTGGATGTATTTGCACAATATAATATGAGCGGCCAGATACGCGTTATCCCAATTCATGGTCAGGGACCAATGGAAATAAAATTCAGTGAGTAACAACAAGCTTTATTAATATTGATTAACAGTAGGTTTATACAAATATTAGGTAGGTAGGTACCTACTTACAAAAAACTGAGAAAAGTATTGTTAGTTTAAATTCTTGAACTATTAACTTAATTAATTTTTTCCAATTCCATCAATAAATAACTTTTTCTACTACCGTGCGTAAAGTACTCACTTTACGCACTATTCAGAAGACGTAAAATTACTCTTCACGCACTAGTGTGTAAAGTATTTCACTTCACACACTAGTGCGTAAAGTAATGTCAATGACAGATGTAAACACTGTCAATGTAATATTTTTCTGGTAAATTACTTCACGCACTAGTGCGTAAAGTGAAAATACTTCACGCACTAGTGCATAAAGTATTTATCTAAATCTATTTATTACACATATTTGATTGGTAGTAGAAAAAAGTTTGTATGCAATGCGTGCGTAAAGCACCTTTTTTTACACATGTGATTGTCGCACTCGCCTTCGGCTCGTGCGTCAAAATTCACATTCGTGAAAAAAGGTTCACTTTACACACTTGTTGCATAAATTACTATTTTTGACCTAATATTTTTTCGAATCTAATACAATATCGGTTTTTTTTTTTTAGCTGATGCAAACCTAGTATACGCATTTGATTACAACTTGGAGGTCAGGAAAGACTCTAAAACATATTTGGGCGACATAAAGCCTTCCATTGATTTTCAAGTGAAATCAGCACATTTTTTATTCGGTAATTTGTTCGATGGAAACAAACAAATAAGTAAGTCATTAATTTTATCCAACACCAACATGATAAGACACTATAATAGCTGTGATTTTTAATGAATAATATTTCCATAGCTCACTCTGAGTTCATCTATTTGAAAAATACCTGCATTTTTTGAATTTTTGTTAAAGGCAACTACTAATTTTATTTTTCTACTACTAACTCGAGAAATAGTCATTATTCAATCTATTTTTCTAGGAAAAAATTGAACTTCTTTCCCTAGGTGGATAATGATAATAATAAAAAAATAGGACAATAATGAAAATCACGTCATGATGTAGGTACCAAGTTTCTAGTGATTTAATTTTAATTTCAACCTGTCAATTAATAGGAAAAAACAGGTACATAGGAAATTACCATAAGCTTTTCATAGAGGGCGGTACTTTCGAGAAGCCAACCAGAAAAAATAATTTAAACACAATGATTTCAAACATTTTAACAAATCAAATTTTTGATTTTCTACTAGTAGTAGTGAAAAAAAATCTATATTTTCTATTCTAATTTATTTACATCACTATCACTTCAAATAATAAACCCAATTAAAAATTCGCTGAAAATTACTCCCATTACTAGAAAAAATTAAGAAATTCTTTAACCATTTCTTGAAAATAATGCTTGACGAAGTTTCGTTGTTATCCCTTGGTTCGATATTTTTTCTTGCATATTTCTTGTGAGTAATTGCTTCGCTTTTCGTTGGGAGTTGGGAGTAATATTCCCCTTGCCTATTGCTTTTCAGCTGATTTGAAATATCTTCCATTTCATTAGGCCATATACGGCCAGAGGCCCACGGGATGAAAAGTTTGCCCTCGGTTACCTCGGTAGTTAACAACATTATAATTTTCCCATGAATAACTATTAATTATTACTATCTATTAATTAAAATGCGAATATATGAAAGGGTTAGATAAAACGTTGTATTAGGCTCGCGAGTTAAACATTAAAGTAGATAACTGGGAAAATTACCTAACTCACTTACCTAATGAATAAAAATGACAAACTTTTTCAAATCTATAGTTACTAATTTAGAGTTAAATATTGTGGCTAGTTCTAAATATATTCTGTTTCAGGTGACAGTACCCACGAAGTACTCAATAAAAACTGGCAGGATGTAATGAATATTTTTGGTGACCCCATAGCAGAATGCATCCAGGAAATAGCGACTACTCTTATCAAAGCTCTCCTATATCCGGTCTCGTTTGACAAAATATTTTCAACAAATTAGAATTCTCAAAAATTTACTGTATTACGTTAGATTTTGAAAATAAAATCTATTTTTTCAGAGATAAGACAGCGGTTTTATTCATTACACTTTTGACTATTCAACATCCAACAGAAGTTGATTTCCGAATGTAAATTGATATAGTTGGTATGTATGTTGGAGGTGTCAGCCACACTGCGACGTAAGTTGATCAATTGTGCCTCTCTCACTACTACTAAGTTCAAGTTTCCTGCTCAAAACAGCCCCTCCAGTGCTCAGTATTTTAGGAGTGTTAGGATATCCATTGGTTCCAGAGATGTAATGCCTTCTTACTGTTTAAAGGTATAGAGACGTCCCAAATTTCTTATCCTTAAACGACTAACGGCATCGCAGTTCAGCAGAAGCTGGTGATGTCTCTCCTCTTCATCTTCACAGAAAGTGCAGGCATCCCTTTCGTCCAATCCCAATTTCCGTACGTGTTCCTTAGTCTGCAGCGTTCCGAGAAAAACCTGGATTTTGGTTGATTGATAACACTGACCAGCAGTTCTAATATTTTTTGGTTGAAGTTGCCTCAGATCCTCTTTTTAAATAATATGATATTAATAAATATAAATCAAAAACTAAAAATAGTTTATTCTAAACCATATATTATGTAATTGTCACATTCCTTACTGGTTTGAAGGTTCGAAAATGTCACTTTACTTTTGTTTACTTTAAAGCAGGCGGAAAGTGACTGTTCTCCTATCACTTTCGGCCTGGGTCCTTAATCTTGAATCAGGGGAGCAGCGTTCCCAGGAGAACGAGTGTTCGGTCTTTGTTAGTTATATCATTATTTGCATATCATTGGGAAAGACGGAATACTCGCTCTCCTGGGAACGCTGCACCCCTGTTTCAAGAATAGGGACTCTGGAGAACTCATTTTCGGCCCTGATATAGTATATTACATACCGAGGTGGGAAGTGTTTCATTACTGTCGAGACAGGAATGAAACTTCCTACCGAGGTTTGTATACTATTTTATTTGCAACAATTACAACCCTCATAATTTCGACTAATAAATACTAAAAAAAAAATTTAAAAATTTGTTGACAAGTTCTGACTCATCTAAAAAAACGTTTGACATGCAGGACTTGTCTTAAACATTTTAAAAAATGAGAACTTACTTTCCACCCGGGTGGAAAGTGAGCACTTTCCACCCGCAATCACTTTCCACCCGGGTGGAAAGTAAAATTCAAAAAAGTGTTACTTTCAAACTTTTGAAAAGTCAGAAATGTCAACATTACGTATGTGGTTGTAAATAAAATTGTTTTTTCACACCTAGACATAAATCCAGGTGCAATATGTTTGTATTTAGAATTGTGTGGAAGTAGATGACAGATGTCACATGTGTTTATATTGTTGAAATTTCATAAGATGTCAATATCGGTGTCAATGGAAATTCTATTTTGTCATATTAGGTTTATTCGGACTTAGTTCAGAATCAGTTCTGATTTGAACTGCGCATGCGCATTTGTTTAATATCTGTTTTTTTTTTTAAAGATAAAAGTCATAATGACATTGTGTTTGCAATACAATGTAAAATTGTCAATCCTTTCAATTTGTTTATGTAGAAAAGGCTTGTGTTGCCAACATAGTTACTAAATTTTTGACTTGGGGAATTATCTTTAAAAAAAAAAAAACAGACTTTATTTATTTTTGATATGAACAAATGCGCAAGCGCAGTTCAATTCAGAACTGATTCTGAACTAAGTCCGAACAAACCTATTGTTACCTTATTTTTTTTAAAAGTTGATGGTTCAAAATAAAATAGTATACATAATTCGGTGGAAAGTTTTCACATTATTGTCTCTCGACAATTATGAAATACTTTCCATCTCCGCATGTAATACACTATTCTTATACTAGTGTTAAACATAGAAATATAAAAATAAAAAGTTTCTCAATTTAACTGTACCAACAAGTAATACAGGTTTGTAACGAATAGTCGCGATAAGACTCAAGCGAACCTTAGAGCAAGGACCCAGGGGGTCTTGTTAAAGTTGTCGAGAAAACTTAGGTAATGCAACGAATTCACTAAAGCTGAAAATCGTTACACATATTATACATATAACATATAAATAACAGTAATGTTAGTCAGTCAGTTGATTAGCGGAACCGCTGCTGGTCAGTCAGCCCCAAAAAATCAAATCTATTACAAGAACTAGTAATAATACTATGTAATACTATTAATTTATACTTCAACCTACAATTTTGAATTGTCAACGATTGTCACTGTCACTCTAAAAAAAATATTCAGAAAATTTTTTTGGCGCTGGCTCTCCGTTTATTTCTTTTGAGAACAAGTTCCAATTAGAGTGCACCTTTTGATGAATCTGTTGTTTGGGAGCGCTCAAGGGACAGCAATCATTTTGGTTAATTTTTGGTTGGTCACCAGTTGAAGTCTCCAATAACTGTTTATAATTTAAGCCTGGATTTCGATCTCTCTGTGGTCTCAAGAATTTACGTTTAGTCCAGATTCTTGTACAACTACTACATGTTGCCAAGATCTTGTACTTTTTTTGTATCAGGATTGGTTGATTTGGAGACAATTATTGTGGAAGCACTTTAGGTTTCTGGTCATCATAATTTTTTTGCATGTTCTGACGCGTTTTCAAAGTTGCTTCGACTTTTTTCGTAGAATATTGTATGGGCTTATCAATTTATTAAGCACAGGCAACGTTGTCCTCAATCTTCGGCCCATCAACAAATGACAAGAAGGGGCTGCGAGATCTTGCTTGTTACATTAAGGTAAAAACATTTAACAATGGGTCACTGCCATCTTTATGAGTAAACCTTTGACAGTCCCACTTGACAATTGGACAGTGGATAATTATTTGGGCTTGAAGTTGTTAACTTTATCTCACACCAGGTACTTCTTTGCAAATTTTTGAAATTCCAACAAATTATGAGGTGAACCATTGTCTGAGACTTTTGATTGCAGTAAATCATTATTAGCAAGAGTATTCTTAAGAGATGCTCATGGATACCATGTACTTTCTTGAACTGCAACAGATGAACATCGTTCAGAATCATCTGATAAGCAGAACTCTGGACCTAATTTTTGTCGACGACTTCATTGCTCTCTCCATCACACCCAGTGCTGACCCTCCAATGGCAATGGATGCTTAACACCCGGCCATCGAAACTTGTTTCTCCCTGGGACAGATCAAGACGTTAAGTGTCAGAGCTGAGGTCAAAGTATTTGATTTTCATCGTGCCAATTACTAGGAACTTAACTACTTTTATGAGCAGGCAAACTGGTCTTTTTTGTTGTCAATAACCGACGTTGATACAATGATCACCCTCTTCCATGAAACCCTTTTTCGGGGTATTAACCTTTCAGTCCCAAAGAAAACAATAAAGAGCGATAAATATCCTAAATGGTATGACAAAGGACTTCGTAAATGCATCGCGCAAAAGAATATATTATATAAGAATAATTAAGAAATACAAGAAATCAGGACTGAAAGGTAACTATGAAGCCTACACTAAAATTCTTCGTGAGAGTAAAGTCTGCATTGACATGTGCTTCTTGTTATATGTCACCAACACTGAGCACCTGATCCCTCAAAATGTCAAACATTTTTGGTCATTTATCAATAATCTAAAGAGGAACTCGAACTTGCCGACGCAGATATGAAGTACAAAGATTGCACATTGGACGGCTCCGATTCCATTGCTGACGCATTCGCCATGCACTTTCAAATATCTTACTCCAGCCACGATGACTTAGGTATGACATCCATTGAACCTATCCAGTTTGCTACTACCCTATCATCTCATAATTTTCAGACACAGGAAATTACAGACAAGTTAAATCTGCTGTACATATCCAAAAAAGCAGGTCCCGACGGAATACCAGCTATATTTCTGAAAGGTTGCTCGTCTTCCTTAGCCTTACCACTTTGCATTATTTTGCACCGATCTCTGGATTGTGGCTTTTTTCGTGAAAAGTGGAATATTTCCCTCCTTCTTTCAATTTTCAAGTCTGGAGATAGGTGCGTTGAGAACTACCAAATTACCGACAAGTTAAATCTGCTAGACATATCCAAAAAAGCAGGTCCCGACAGAATACCAGCTATATTTCTGAAAGGTTGCTCGTCTTCCTTAGCCTTACCACTTTGCATTATTTTTCAACGATCTCTGGGTTGTGGCTTTTTTCCAGAAAAGTGGAAGATTTCCCTCCTTCTTCCAATTTTCAAGTCTGGAGATAGGTGTGTTGAGAACTACCGTGGAATATCGATAATTTCTGCCATCCCAAAAGTATTCGAATCAATCTTAACCGGGGAAATATTCGAAACCTATAGACTTCACCTTATACCAGAACAATACGGATTCTTTAGCAAGCGTTCAACTGCATCAAACCTAGCAGTCTACCAGAACTTTTTAATAACATCCGTTGAGGCTGGACACAACGTCGACTCCATTTACACAGATCTAGCCAAGGCTTTTGATAGCGTGTGCCACCTCCTTCTTATAAAAAAACTATCAGAAATTGGAATTTCTGGGAACTATTTAGCATGGATAAAATCATATCTTGGAGATCGAACCCAGGGGGTTGAAGTGTGTGGCTACTCCTCTAAAAACTTCAAGGTCATTTCGGGTGTTGCCCAGGGATCACACATGAGACCTGTGTCCCTATTCTTGAAACAGGGGAGCAGCGTTCCCAGGAGAACGGGTATTCTGTCTTTCTCAACGATATGCAACTGATAATATAAGTAACAAAGACGGAACACTCGTTCTCCTGGGAACGCTGCTCTCCTTTTTCAAGAATAAGGACACTGTTCTTTTCCTTATCAACGATGTTTCCGCCTGCTTCCATTCCTCGCACTTTCTCCTGTATGCTGATGATCTGAAATTTTATAATTTTTCGAAAGGAGTTTCCAACCCATTGCAACCAGATCTCGACAGATTTGCCTCTGGGTGTCCTTCAAACCTACTGAAAATCGACATCAGACGTCAGACGATCCCAAACGTATCCTGAACGCTAAGGCATGACCTACGTAGGTTTACTAATCAATAGAGACATGAAACTTTCAAATATTATTTGCG